CCACACCTACTCTCAAAGTCATCGCCCTTCGAGCTATCGGTATGCAGGGAACCCACTATCCCTTGGAGAGAACCACCATCCCTCAAAGTATATGTAAGGGACCCACTATCCCCTAGAGAGAACTACCATCCCTCAAAGTATATGTAGGGGACCCACTATCCCCTAGAGAGAACAACCATCTGTCAAATCATATGCAGAGAACCCACTATCCCTTGGAGTAACAACTCTGCAACGTGAATCATAAGCACCTGTCGACCAAAATCACCTCCCGTGGTTCTATCATGACATCCCCTATCCTGGAATATCATCACATCATGACCAATCACTAAGTCATCCGAAACAACCCAATCACACAGGGTGTTTCCACTCGAGTCCCTAGGGGAAATAGACAGTTCCAACTCACATAAAACTTTTATTCCCAGACGGCCAGAAATAGACAAGTCCTAACTCACATAGGGCCTCTATTTCCTACCAGCGCATTACCAATGACTCACCCGTCATACCATAGGAACTCACATCCTATAACACATAACTCATGGCATCACCGGCCATACTATAAGAACTCACATCTCATAAACACACATAAGAAACACATCTTATGAAACTCATTAATAAGAAATACTCAAAGGTGGAGCTGGTCAAAAGAAGAAAAACGGACAGCACAAGACAGTCGGTAACCAAAAAGATCAGAAATTGGCTCCAAACACAACCAATAAAAAGTCCTCCTCGCGGAGGAACTAATGATCATGACGTCATTTTTTGCGTGGAATATCTGTGGTTTCAACAAAATGCGCATACAAAATCTGGTTAAAAGTTGGATTGCAAATTCAAATCTCTCATTCGGTTGTCTCTTAGAGACAAGGGTACAAGAAGAAAAAAGTACAGACATAATTCATCGTGTCTTTTCGGGATGGAATCATGAAACAAACTACGATTATCATCGGCTCAGTCGTATTTGGGTAATCTGGTCTGATGATTTATCAGTTACGGTCTTATTTAAAAGTCCTCAAATGATCACAGTGGGTGTGGAATCAGTCCGGGGAGAGACTTTTATTTGTTCGTGTATATATTCCTCTAATTTCCATAACGATCGAATTACACTTTGGGAGGAAATACGTCAGAACAAAGCTTTCTTTGGAGACACTAATCTGACGTGGATCTTACTAGATGACTACAATGTCACTCTATCTTCAGAGGAGCACTCGAGAGTAATGTATGGCTTAGGTGATCAGCATGGTATGCTGGATTTTCAAGCATTGGTCTCTGATTGCA